GCTAATTATAGCCGCGCAGCTGGCGGGCTGGCGGGGCGGGACCCGGCGCCACCGCCCCCGTGGGGTCCCGCCGCCCGGCTCCACGTGCGCAGAGAGGGGCGCGGGGAGAAGGCACTGCGCCGGCGGCCCCGGCAGAAGTTCTGGAATAAATAAACACGGGCGCGGCGTGAGTCAGGGTGCCGCGCTGGAAACCGCAGCGAGGTCTCCTCGTGGGCTCAGGCCCTGACGCAGGCTGCTGGAGAGTCAGGGAGCCTCCTCCCCTTTCCTTCCCCTCCAGGAAACAGGGCTGGGCAGCGCTGGCGGCTCTTTTCCTCCTTTTCAAAAACGCCACTGTGAGCAACAATAAGAAGGTGAAAAAAAAAGAAAAAGCTACAATTTGACGATTTTGACCCGGCCCCGATGATTTCAAAGGGCCTCTTGGTTTGTAGGAAGATAGTGAGGTCCGGCGGCCCCTTTCATGCAAGACGGTTGCATGCTGGGCGTGATGAGTTTCTTGTGTGCAAGCACTTTGGACTTCGGACTGTGTCCCCGTGTCAGAGTTCTACCGAGATTCCAGATAGGCGTTCTAGAAAGAGACCCAATCCTCCACGTAAGAATTTTGCCCTAACTATAGTTTCCAAACTCGTGCAAGGAAACCGACGCGTGATTAACTTTCCTCCATATGGGCTCTTCATCAAGCAAACTGACATGCCCTCCCTATCCGTGGAATAGTCTTTAAGCTCCAAGAAAGCTGGGGCCTAGACTCTCAGCTGTTCAAAGCCTAGAATGATGTGCCTACTTACTAGGTGTCAGATACTAAGGGCGACAGCCCATATGGTGCTTATTAACAGAATAGTATTCCAAAACTTCTCTAATGACTGTGACCCTCTTGTGAAATTCTGATTTCAGTTGTATATGGGGTACAATAAATCTTTATCTTTTATCACCAAAAAAAAGTTAATGGAACGGCTGTTTGGAGGCAGAAATAACAAAAACGGAGGTAAGAGGCTTTTAGCCTGGGTTAAGGCACGCAGCGCCTGTTTCTGTTTCGCAGCGCACGCATAGTCTTCTCAGGCTCTGGAGAACGCGGGAGGCCCCAAGCCACTGCTGTGTGCAACAACATACTGATTTATTCAGACCCAGGCCATCCCTACTCCTACATTTCACTTCTCTGCAGAAGAACTCTCACTGGTGTGGTTAATATTTTAAAATCAAACAGTAAAAGAAGGTAAAAGCTCAATAATCTGAAGCTCTTTTAATAAACTCTCATTATATATTAAAATAAATTTAAGGCCCTGAGTTCTGATGAAGCGATTCTGGACTTATTTTCCCTGGCAATATAAATAGCCACATTTACAGTTCAAATTATTCGATTGGAACTGTCATGGGAAAGAGGTTTTCCAAAAGGCAGAGAAATATGCAATGACCCAAATATTTATCTGCTAAAGTGGCTACCCGAGTACCTACGCAACCAAAAGTGACTCTGGTTGTGACGCCTGTCCCCTCGTGGGCATCTGAATGTTAACTGGTAGTAGTGATAGTCAGAATGAATGAAATAGTCACTGCTAAGTAAAAGTGTTTAAGTGGTGGGATCTACAGATTATATAACACAATTCATTTTCCCCAAAATGCAAAGTATATTTAGAAATATTCAAATGGGACATTATTACTCTGTATAGGATGTCTTATCTCAGCATCAAGGGCTTCTACTGAATTGCTAGAGGAGGCTCTTCGATTATGCAATCCAGCTTCTAAAGTCCATTCAAAAGACGAGATCAACCAGTGCACTGATGCTTCCAATTTAAACTAGGAATCCTGTATAGTCTCTTATCCAGACCTTGTCTGACCTAAAAGAAAATCACCTCCTAGTGGATTTCCATGGCTGACTTTGTGACAAATTTGATGTGTACTGAAGATGACCCAATGTCTACATGATTCCAAAAATGATTTTGCCCATACCATACTTTTTTGCCCTAAAATACCTTTTCTGTAGCTTGTATGGGTTGGTTTATGCTGCTCAGTGCCATACAGAAGCACACAATATTCTGTGATAAAGATCAGTGCCGATGTAGATTTCATATTCTGTAATTTTAAAAAAATACATGATACTCAAATTTAAAAAGGAAAGCTTTTGTAAAACAACCATTTGAAATTGTATTGACATGGTGAAGGGGCAGGTAACAACAGGCTAATGGGTTAAAAAAAAGTTCACTGTTAAATTAGGTACGAATTAGTTAATGGTAAATAGGGATAGTGTGGATATCCCTAATTATGGATTTATCTGGGGATTAATAGAGAAATCCACAGATAATCCATAAATCCAGTCACTTTCTACCTTCCAACCTCTGAATTTACGAATTGACTTTTTGTATATTTGCGTGCCTTTTAAATTACTGCTAGGGGTTCATAACTGGAGGAAAATGCAGGCTGTCAACAGGAACAGCAACAAAGGCCCTAGATTATTAATAATCTGGGAAGTTATGCCATAATTTTTATTTGATCATAATCAATACCGTTGCTGTTGGAGGCCTAGCCGTTGGCACTGAAGGAGTTAAACAGCATCCCCCACCCAGCCTCTCATTTCTAGGACCCCAGATGATGAAGTAGGTAAATATGTATTCCATTCATTGGTGCCTCTGACCTTGGTCTGTGACAGAGGAAAGGCGTGTCTTCTCATAGTGTTCCCTACAAAGAAAAGGCAAGCAAATGAGGGTGACTCAGGACTTCTAGTGGCCTACACACGACTGAACATTTTTCTGAATGATTCCACGTATACACTTTGGAATCAGGAAGAGAAACATTTTACTCTTCACTAACCAAATAAAACCATCTATAAATCATATGCAAAACAACTTTGAGTAACGAGGGACTTAAATCTAGGAATTAAAAGGAGTTCTGTATTTTCCCTTCAACTTTTTTCCCTCCTTTGGGGAATAAACAAAGACATCTGCCACATCAAGAGTCTGGTTTGTTTGTTTTTTTTTTTAACTGGAAACTGAATGCAATCATTAAAGTTTACTTTGGGAGGAGCTTTTGAAATTTTAAAAATTACTTCTGCAAGCTGCAGTCTTTTAAATTTTACTAAAAATAAAATTTAGCATTTTTAAGTTAAAAAAATAGTTCAACATTTCTTTTAATCTGATTACTAAATGAAACATTGTGTTGTGTATTATAAGCTGTAATTAACTTATTAAGAATATGGTTTCTTGAAAACTGCCTTAAGCAGGCTACTAATAAAAAAAATTATTGACATACACATAGTGATGGGTCCCCCAAGTTACCGGACCACCCCTACTGAAAATATATTCGGTTATACATTACCTGTTGCTGTTTAATTTAAAACACATAGTCAGTGTGTGTGTACCCTATCCTCAAACTCTTTGTCAGGTTCACAACTTCCTTTTGTAGGAGTCTGCCAAGCCATTGATCAATAAAATGAGTAAAGGCTGCAAACATCTAGGAACTGTCCTACGATGTCTTGCAAATGTGTCCTGGTGCTTCCCACCTCTTATCTCTTATTTATAAATTCAGATTTCAGGACGTCAATAAACCTCACACCTGGCTTTCCCTCTGATTTTATTCCACAGCTTTCCAAAAGGTAGGCTATTTTCCCCCCTCTTTTGTCTTCAGTGCATTTCACACAGCCCAACATGGCTGATTCGTTCCAAAGCTTTCCAGAGAGCAACTCCATGTCTCGACAGCCTTTTCAGTGTTGTCAGGATCTTCCTTCCAGTCTACGATTGCAGAGTGGCTGGCTCCGCTGCAAGTTGAAAAATAAACAAGCGCTTTCTGGCCGTACTTTGTTCAGCTCTTCTCTTTATCTGTTTCCCTTATCCAGTTGCCCTTTCCCCCGGGTCCCTAGCACTTTTTTTTTTTTTTCCTACCATCAGTTGCCTTTTTGTTCTGGGTCTTTTTATCTCCTGTTCTTCTCCTGCAGTTCCAGTCAAACCCCAACCCCAAACCCACACATCCTTTGGTCACATTGCCCTTAGTGATTAAAACAATAGCCATTCTGAGCTTACTTTAAAAAATTAAAAAAGGCCTCAGAAAATGTTCAGTGCTCCCAATTTTATTTTTATTTAATGCTAAAAGTTAAAGAAAAAAAAAAGGTACTGTAAATCTGACAAATGACAGAATGCATGTGATTTTTCCATAGCGTGATTTTAAAATATAATAGTGTTGATATCTGAGATTACACTCACTTCAGCTGACATGAGTTTCATCATATATAGAAAAAGTATCACCTTCAACTTAAAAAAAAAAAGTAAAGGTTAAAAGGTGGCACACTTTAAAAATACTTGGTGGCCAAGGAAAGGTATATAGTAAAAGTTGTAAACCATGTGTACGTTCTCATAACTTTTAATGTGAGGCCACATGAAAGACAGCACATCTGTTATATTCTATAAATTGTTAAAGCAAAAAAAGGGAAAGCTTCAACACCCCATCCCCTAATATTTTGAGTATTAAAAGCACAGCTGAAATATTTAGGATCTTAAATCTGATACTGCCCATGTACAGTAAGTAGCTTTCTGACACTTTTATCCAGCTGTGGAGAATCTCTGCACTGTCATCAGGTACAACAAAACATCAAACCCATGTCCCAGTGTTAACTTTTTAACTTAAGAGAATGCCAGAAAAATAACCCGGATCAACATTTTACAGCTGCAAGCCTTCCACGAAGGCCACCCAAGGGCCGGGCGGACTCATGCAGACCTTAGTTTTTAATGGGAGTAACCTCAATACACAGCCCTTTAAAGCTATTCCTATTCTCCCCCCTCCTTACACACCAGCACAGAGAAACCATAGGTTGTCTTTTCCACAGCTGGACAGACTTATTCAAAACAGCAGGATGGTTCTTTATTAATCTTTTTTGGAAAGCTTATCTGTATTGAGATTGCAAAGCATACAGATAGCTACCACGAATTAGGTCAAATGACTGATCAACTTGTAAAGTCTATGAGGTCAAATTCCAGTTTATAATAAAGTGCTTAGATACACATTTATACAACAAACCATAATAGTTGAATTCTTTACACATGTCTTTATGGGCATGTAAAATTGACTCTGTGTTTCTGCATGTGTGCATTTACATAAGAGAAACCAGTCTGATCTGAGTCATAGATGCGCCAATTAAAAAAAAAAAAGTGTAACAACAAACTGGTTAATCATGCAAGTCTGTTTGTAATATAACAATGACCGGTAACATGAATTTGCACAGCATTAATAATAGGTGCACTCATTAAAAACACTACAAAAAAAAAAACTGTATTTGGTGCAGTATCTGATTTTCAAGTGTTAATAACTCGACCATTAAAAAAATATTTGAGCAATTTAAAAAAGAAAGACAAAAACGTAACTAAAAAAGAATCCAAAGAGGGTAACAATCTCTATCTTCAAACTAAAACAGAAGCTAGGTCGTAAACGATACACATAAGTTGTAGTAGACCTTGAAGCCATGATTCAGCCTAATTAGAGGGCCAAGTTACAAACACCTGAACATAAAAGGATTTAAAATAGTGTTCCTGTCAATGTTAAATCGTAACAGCACAAAAGAAAAACCAGTATCACTGTGAGACAACTATTTCTAATAACAGATGATTTATTGGTTTAAAAAAATCATTTTACTGATGCAAAATAGTAATCAAAAGAAATTAGTTTACAAAAGGTTTCTAAGAATAGTTTGAGAGGTGGGGCCTGCCTATTATTAAAACCCTTTCTTTAATTTTCACTAGTTTATCTTTTTTTTTTTTTTCCCCCAGAAGAACAGTATTATTCACTTGGTATTTCAAACACATGTAAGAAGGAAATTACAGGCCTCCCCCACCCCCAGCTGGGCTGTCACGGATATGCCCACGGGCAGAGCCGGCGGCACCGCGCGCTCCTCCTGCCATCGTACCATACTGTATTTAGCACTCACTAGCGACAGGGTGTCGGTGATAGTACCAACAGCAGTAGCACTACAGGTAAATGATAAAACAGAACAAAACACAAAACAGAAACAAAACCAATCCCACAATCTCCAAGTTCACCTGAACCGTAACTTCTCTTGCGACTAGTTTCAAAGGAAAGACACGACCAACAACAAACAGAGCTCTGGGGTGTTTAAAAAGATGAAGTGGCGCTGCAGAGCCAGGCTCTGTTCAAAAGACAGCAGTGCCATCTTGTATACACCACCATCCATTATCACCGCCTTCAGTCACTGAATTGGGTATTATGTAACCAACTAGCATGCAGCATTGTACTCATACAACTGATCACGTGGGCAGTGAACAGTGGTCAACTTTGCCTTTAAAAAAAAAAAATCCCCCCCACCCCCATGCAAAACCGAGCCTGCAGCTCAGGGACGCAGGACTGAGCCGCTGAGAGAACAGGGAGAGGAAGCAGGAGGAGCAGAAGCCTGCGTGCTGGGCAGACCTGCCTCGGGCAAGTCACTTCCCTCCCTGCACCTCCTCCTCCCCAGCTGCCGAAGGGTGTATCAGACCACCAGCTTCAAGGTCAGGCAGGGCACGTCAACGCTCTGTAGCAACTACTCCTGGAAGATATATCTGTGTCCCTCTCAGATCTAATACGGACCTTCTTTTATCTGCTCAGAGCCAAGATAGGCCATTTTTTTAATCATGCCAGCATTTCTAAGTTCTGACAACATCCAGCAAATGATAGGCAGTCAGAATACATACAGCTGTATACATCAAATGAGCTTTGCTGCAGTTTTAAACACTTGCTTGGTAAAGCACCTGACCCATCCGGAGCCCACAGTCATGGCAACATACGTGTCTCTGCCTCTAGAATCAGCCAGGATCCAAAAGCTGTGGGCTCATCACAAAGAGGTAGCCCATGCAGTGCCATGAGGACCCGCCCAAAAGCAACCTCAAAGTGAGCAAAGCCAATGATAAAAACAGAATGTCTGCTGGAGGTCAGGCAAGGCGGTCAGGACGTGTGTGAGCGCATGCTCTGGACCCCACAGCACATGTGAACTGCGGTTCTCCCTTCGGAAATGAAATTATGGGTCATTTCTCCCTTCGCTGTGGGATTTTTGATGCTTTTCCAGTTGTCTTCCTTACTCTTGACTCGATTTCCATTTAAAACTAATTTTTATTTTTTATTTATTTATTTTTTTATAATATTTTTATTTATTTATTTGAGAGAGAGAATGAGAGAGAGAGAGCATGAGAGGGGGGAGGGTCAGAGGGAGAAGCAGACTCCCTGTCGAGCAGGGAGCCCGATGTGGGACTCGATCCCGGGACTCCAGGATCATGACCTGAGCCGAAGGCAGT